GTGACAACATTATCAAGCTGCACCTTCACAGTGATAACCTGCTTACTGAAGATCTGCCAGGGGCACTAGCTCTCGATCTCATTACAGCCTTGGACTAAACTTGGTCAAAGAGGTGAATGCAAGAGGGGAGGCGAGAGAATGATTGCCCTTGACTTTCAGACCATATTTGTCAGAATGTGACACCAAGCAGTCCCAGTGAAACTGAAGTCGATGCCAATCAGGGGAAACCGTCTACTGGTTAGAGGCATATCTGGCAGAGAGGAAGGTGCTTCTGGTGGTTGAAGTCAATCATCTCAGATGCCAATCATTACTACATGAATTCCTGTAGAATTACTCATTGGTTCAGCTACCTCCAACGGCTTCATTAATGACTTGCCACAGCACATAAAAACATGGAAACATATAAAATAGTCAGAGTAAGCCATTTGGTCCTTCAAGCCAGCTGACCATTCAATATAATCATAGCTGATTACCTAACTCAGGACCAAATTCCTGCTTTCTCCTCATACCTTTTGACCCCTTTAGTCCCAAGAGCTAGTCATATTTGCACTGATGACTGCAGTATTCAAATATCATTCACAGTTCCTTAGATAATGTAGCAAGCAGCAAGACATTCAGACTTGGGTGAAATTCCAAGTAATATCGACATCGCGTAAAAGCCCAGCAATGGCCATTTCCAACTAGATAGTTTAACCATCTCCACTTGACATTACCAATGTGAAAACTTCAACCATGAACATGCTGGAGGTTATAATTCACAACCTATTAAATGTTGTAGTCACAACATTATATTGGAGGCTAGGCAATCTATGATGAGTAACTCATGTCCAGTCTCTCAACTCCTGTCCATGAACCACATGGTAAATCAGGAGTGTCATACAATACTTCCACTTTCCTGGATGCGTGTGGCTCAAACAACATTCAACAAATTTGACACAATCGCCACCTTAAAAAATGAACTGCTGCAACTCATCAAGGCTCCTATGACAGCAACTGTCAAACCTGCACGCTCTACCAACGAGAAGGGCCACAGGCCCATGGGAATACCATCTCTTGCAAGTTTCCCTCTAAGGCACAAGCTATCTTGATATCATTTATACATAAATGATCTGGAGGAAGGTATAGATGGTCTGATTAGCGAGTTTGCAGATGACACTAAGATTGGTGGAGTAGCAGACGGTGAAGGGGACTGTCGGAGAATGCAGCAGAATATAGATAGATTGGAGGGCTGGGCAGAGAAATGGCAGATGGAGTTCAATCCAGGCAAATGCAAGGTGATGCATTTTGGAAGATCCAATTCAAGAGCGAACAGTACAGTAAATGGAAAAGCCCGGAGGAAAATTGATGCACAGATAGATCTGGGTGTTCAGGTCCATTGTACCCTGAAGGTGGCAACACGGGTCGATAGAGTGGTCAAGAAGGCATACGGCATGCTTTCATTCATCGGACGGGGTATTGAGTACAAGAGTTGGCAGGTCATGTTACAGTTGTATAGGACTTTGGTTCAACCACATTTGGAATACTGCGTACAGTTCTGGTCGCCACATTACCAAAAAGATGTGGATGCTTTGGAGACGGTCCAGAGGAGGTTCACCAGGACGTTGCCTGGTATGGAGGGTGCTAGCTACGAAGAGAGGTTGAGTAGATTAGGATTATTTACATTAGAAAGACGGAGGTTGAGGGGGGACCTGATTGAGGTCTACAAAATCATGAGAGGTATAGACAGGGTGGATAGCAAGAAGCTTTTTCCCAGAGTGGGGGACTCAATTACTAGGGGTCACAATTTCAAAGTGAGTGGGGAAATGTTTAAGGGAGATATGCATGGAAAGTTCTTTATGCAGAGGGTGGTGGGTGCCTGGAACGCATTGCAAGCGGAGGTGGTAGAGTCGGGCACGATAGCGTCATTTAAGATGCATCTAGACAGATACATGAATTGGCAGGGAGCAGAGGGATACAGATCCTTGGAAAATAGATGACAGGTTTAGATAGAGGATCTGGATCGGCGCAGGCTTGGAGGGCCGCAGGGCCTGATCCTGTGCTGTAATTTTCTTTGTTCTGTGACTTGGAAGTATAATCGCTGCCCCATCACTGTTGCTAGGTCAAAATCTTGGACCTCCGACATGCAGCACTGTATATGTACCTACACCAGATGGAATGCAGTGGTCAAGATGGTTCTTTCTCCTGCACCCCAACATTGTCAAGGGTAATTACAGAAGACCACAAATACCAGCCTTATGACTGGCACCTTCATCTCATCTCAGAATAAAAACGTAGCCGCCCAGAAACTGAGAAGTGATGATGAAAGTGAGGTTAGACTAGGTTGTTCATGTGATGTGGGCCAGTAGCATAGAAATGAATTTGGATTTTCAATCTAACACTATTCAAGCAATACTGTGTAGGTTTGCCCATTTCTCAATTCTATAAACTTCTATCATAATATTTTTGATCACAACACCATGGTGCAAACAAATTGCTTTCCAAGTTCCCTTCCTAACTTGATAACAAGCAAACATACGAAATAGGAGCTGAAGTAGACCGTTTGGCCCCAAGCCAGGTCTGCCATTTAATAAGATCAGGGCTGATCTGTTTCCATATCCCCACCTCTATCTATAAACTTAATTCTTCTTGGTGACATGAATCAAAGGTTAAGAGAAACTTTAATAATATAACTTTTTGATCTCCCTAAAGTTGTCATGGAAGCACAGTTTAATTTAAAGCCCTATAATGTCATATTAATTTCACTTTAATTTGGTCCAAATCATGCTTGGGTGATTTTTGTCACGTTATATGCTAACAGCATTATCACAGTTGCACAATTGCAAAATATATATGTTTGCAAAGGATATAAAATTAGCTGTGGAAAAATTGACACGCACAGCAAGCATTGTTTCAAAATAAAGTAAACATTGTCACAACCCATGATGGGCTATTTTCCCACAAGTTTTGCAGAGTACAATATTGTTGAAATTTCTCTTGCCCACAAGTTGATGTGGGGTCAGGCACTGCAGACACTGTTACATTTCTTTGCTTTCACAACATGATCTCTAAACAGTCAGAAAGCAAATATTAAATGAATACCTGAGGTATGAGAAATGCACTAGTTCATGCATTAATCTTGCTGAAGGTAAACATAGACATCAAGTGCTTTGTTAAACGTAGCCACCCAAACCTGTGTCAGGTTCAAGCAACTCAAGCTTCATGGATCATTTTAAATTTAATTAAATTCACTAGGCAGTTTTACCCATAATAAAAGACAGCTAATCAAATTTCAAGCTCAAGGGAGATTTAGTCACAAAAGGAAATCAGATGGTCATGGACTTATGTGAATTCTATAAAAACCACAGTTGTTACTCGATTTCATATGCTAGGCTGAGGAGTCAATATTTCGCATGTTAGAAAACTAATCAGAAGTTGCAATACTGGAGCAGTACTTAGAAAGTTTAGGTCTGTGTACAATAAATCCCTTTCAAATTCAAAATGGTTAAAAGATGATGCCTCGAGTACAATTTCATTGTGATAATAAGCACTTCAGGAAGATATCTTAATGTAAAGGTATATTTTCTTTTAAAATCAATTGTCTAGTGTAATTTTGCACTGTTAGAACATTTGCCACTTTCGACTCTACCAATCTGTTAAACTATTTTAAACAGTAACAATTAAACACACATTGTCACCTGAATACAGAACTATGTATAGCTCTTCTGTACCATTGCTTGCCATTGGAGGTAAATGAGACTGTGCTGCCACCACTGGACTACATTTAAGGATCCACTTTTCGTACCATTTTATTTTGGATCACAGATGTATGCACTCAGTCAATACAGTGAGACAAACAACATAATTTTCCCACGAATAGCATGTTCAGAGGAAAAGTACAACGTCCACGAAAGCTCACATTACTATACATACTGACTTTGCAGAGGTTAGCTGCTTTGTGTTGTGGATTCTTGTTCATAATGCAAATGGCACAAGCAGCCTTGGGTAGTATCATTTCATAGAAGTGTTTATGGAACATCAAACTAGCACCAGGAAACCATTCAGCAAAACAAAAACAAGATGAAGCACAAACTGCATCACAATTAATTTAGTATATGTGACAGGAGCCTGTCTGCTAAATTTTGCTCACAACTGTAAGCTTGTTGATTGGAATATTAGGATACTTAAGTACAACTGATTTGTCTTATTCATGTAAGTCAACCACGCTCTGAAAGACTAACAATAACAGACTGACAAGAAAGCTAAACTGCATTTAAATTCACAAATGGATACATATTGTGAAATGTTCATCATCTTATTTTTGCCAGCAACACTGAGCTTCAAAAACTGGCACTCACAGTAAAATGTACTTGAACAATACATGTGAAAACCCAACTGAAATGCAGTAGCAATTCCAGTTAGTGAAATCACATGATGTTATTTCATAAATACATATGAAAATATGGAATTTTCACAAACTGGCAGTGAAGGACATAGCACTAGAAAACAGGAACTGAAATCCCAATTCGCTCTCATGTAGCACTGACCAATGTACTTGTGTACAAAATTTGAACAGATTTGTAATTAACCTGCCAACGAACACTAAAGTTTCCAAAACCAATCACAAGTTTATAAATCTCAAAATCTCAATGTAATAACTATGGGAAACATACCAAGTGAATTTTTCCTCCCAATAGCTTTTAACCATTGTAAGAGTTGATGGTACACATTACTCACATAGCTTTTTGATGCATTGCAGTAATCTAGTGTAATTAAGAAAGAAAAGGATATAAAATGAAGATGGGGACTGCAAACCTCTATCCAGTTTGTGTCACTTAAGATCCAGAGTAAATTGGATTCCAGTAATTTAAAGAGCGTTTGAAGACAGCTTTAGTTATTTGATGGTGGAGAGAAATTGGCAGATATTATAGTGAGATAGTTCTTTTTTTAATCTGCTGATGCCTTACTGTCTGGTCATTGAAAAAGTTAAAGATAGTGGAAGTGGGATATTCAGTAGTACTTACAGTGCCTGGGTCCCTCTCTGTTTCCACAGTAACCACAAAATGCATAGATATGGTGGGTCAGATACAAAGGCAAAAAAGAAACAAAGAAAAAAGAAAATTAGAACGCAAGCCGACAGATGCTTTCACAACAGCTTTATTCATTCAATTCATTGCACATTTCTAATACATTTCTTTTAAAAGTTCCACATATACTTTAACATTATAGATACATCAGTTCTTTGCATACAACCCCTGGCCTTGGAACCAATGACAGAATAAATTACTGCTGGGTTATTAAATTAAAATGGCAATGAAAGTTATTCAGCAAGTGCAATTCTTATTCATTAAATTAAGTTGATTCACAACACATCGATCTTAATACAAGACTTTTTTTAAATATGAAAAGCAAAAACTGTTCAATTTAACTGAGCAGAATGATTTGACATGACTACAACTAAAACTTAGCAACATCAAGTTTATTTTCCCTCTCCTGACATACATTTCAGAAAGATAAAACAGTATGGATGGTTTTCTGGTAATGTCATTGTCCATCAAACACTCTCTGGTTATCAGTAGTAGTAAAAAGACAAATAAACTGTAGTAGAATTACAAACATCTCCCATTTGTCTCTGGCTAGTGCAACCATCTACCGGACGTGGTTAGTGAAGCTAGAAACATTACAGTATGATCTACTTAGGTTCAGGCCAAGTCTGTTTAGATTCAAAACAGTTTTGTCCTTTGACAAAGACACCTACCAATATATCCTGCATATCATTCCAATCTTAGCATCATCATGTGAATATCTTTTATTGTTGTTGAATTTTTTTTTTAAAAAAGGCGGAGAGATAAAATCAGCAATGGGAAATAAAAAAAGAGAGATAGAATCAAAGCTGGTCTTTGTGTTTGTTTTAGTTTACATTAGAGGAGGTAACTAATATTATATTTGGTCCAATGCACAAATTTTGTGCTTTTTCTCAACCTTTCCAAAATTTCTTCAATACACAATACATAAATGATATTTTCATGCTTTAAAAAAAACACCATTTACATCATTCCATTCATTACCAAGAGAACATAACTTTATAGTACAAAATGTGAAAGCCTAAGCCAACAATTTAAAACAATATTAACTGAGGAAACAAATATTTCAGAGAGGTGCGTCTTCTAATTTCTTATTGGGGAGCAGGGGGCTAGACGATAAAGGATCAGGTTAACATCATAGGATTTCAGGCAGCTGTACTGAATATTCATGACAAAGAGGACCAAACATTCTGCAAGGAAGGCCATGTTGCAAACAGTGACAAAACTGTAAGACATCTTGCATGACAAGTATCTCTTTACAATAACAATCTTGATCATCTTAAAAGTGATTGACCTATTTAGTGTATTTTCTTCACTCCTTTGGATCTAGTCAGAATGGGAAAAAATGTTGCTTTTTGCATGTGGCTAGGTTGTTCAAGAAATCTAGAGCTTTGTGTTTTTCCCCCCCATTTCTACACATCTGGCATCGTACAGAGCACAGATAAACAATTTGTAGCCGCTCGCCTTAAATGCATTAAAAATCACAGAATCCATCTTGTAAATCAAAGTTTTGATGGGAATAACCTTCTATTAAATTTCAAGTATTAAAACTATTCCCAATTAACGAATAAACTCTATTCATAAACACTTGTGCATTGAGATTATTTTATTTAGTTTTCAAAAAATATTTATTAGATAATTATCGCCACCATTTGTGAATACTCTCTTTTAAAAAAGACAATCATATTGCACATCAAATTGCAAAGTTCACTTTTTAGAACAGTTTCTTGGTTCTGGAAAATTTGCATAGATATATGGTGAAAAAGATGCACTACATTTTACTATACTCACAGGAGCATGCATTTATGCATCACGTTGAGCATGTGGATACATAGGTACTACATTAAGAGGAGAAAGGCAGTCTGGTAGCAGAAGGCTTTTTTGAAACAAGAAACCAATAAGCAAACAACTTAGCTTTTGTATTAGTTTGAATGAATAATTGTCCTTGAAGAGGTTTGGAATATCATCAGCATTCTGTCCCTCTACTTTTCGATTACTTTTACCCTCCTGGTGGGGTGGATGGGGGAGTGGTGGGAGAACAGAATAACAGCAAGGAGAGATGTAATATTCCTCAGCCTCAGCCTGCAGTTAGAATGCACATAACTCAGACTTCCAAACACCCTACATAGCTGTTTTCTTTATATTATATCATTGTTTCGCTGCTGTCTGCAAGAATCATGTTTGCCTACATATTAGAGAGGCTTGCCAATCTTGTATGAGGCTTAGTAGTGAGTTGGATCCAAAAGATCACAAAATTCTTCTTCAGCAATCGTCATTTCCAGGACATGTGAACATGGGGTTGAGGGCAGTGAAGAGGGCTAATAAGAGAAACTGAAAATTTGCAATGCATGATGCCAATTAAAAATCATAAACATATTACTTAAGGCAAAATATCCTAAATATTACCTGACAAAGCATTTAGATTAAGACACTTGAAATCACTTCAATATTTGTAAAGATTTTATTTAAGACAAAGGTTCCTCTGCCTCACCCGTTTTAATTTGCAAATTTAACATTTAAGGTAGGGAGCTGAAAAAGGGAGGGGAAGAAGTGCGAGAAAAAGGTATGCTAACAGTGAAAAGGGAGCAGTTGCTAATGCTAACAAGCGTGCAACATTTGAATGGACTCCTTATCCTGATCAAACAGGTCAAAGCAATTAAAAATGAAGGTGATGCAACAACTAGCTTCCATCACATCAATACATCTATTACAGAAAGTAAATCAGATAGTTAATTTTAAGTAGTTAAGATCTACTTATTGCAAGAGGGATTATCAGTTGGACGAAAATAGGCAGCAAATAATATGGCAGAGGAATAAGCAACATTGTATTATTTCCATCTAATTCAAACACCATTACTTGTTCTTGCCTTGATTCTCAAATACTACAAACAAAAAGCCTGCACCTCCTCTCCAGCTGTGAATTGATTTAAATTGGGCTGTAGCATTGTAATGATGTGGTAAAAGGGATTGATCTCTTGCAGGTATTACCATTTTATTTTCTATGCCTGCCTGTTTACTTGTGGACTTGGGCCTTTATTCATTTGCTGAGCACTTGCTATTATTAACATATACTCAGGAGTAATCAGCAAAGAAACTGAAGATCAGTCGACGGACAGTAAAGATTATAATTGCCATGAATGCTGTGGAATGTAATACCTCTATTTCACGTAGTTATAACATATGATGCATGAAACTGGGATGGCACAAATGACATTAAGAAGCAAGTTTGGAGTCAGCCCCAAAAATGTCATAATTTTGCCTTCATCTCCCACGTAAAGAGGAAGTCTTCTTCCATTTTCTTTAAATGTGGATAGTGTTCCACGAGTTATGCTTCAATACTGTTCGCTTTAATGTAGACAGCCAACAAAATAGTCATATTTGTATCAGTGCTGGAGAAACTCAGCAGGTCTGGCAGCATCTGTGGAGAAAGAAACAAGCTTTTAACATTTCAAATCCAACACGATTCTTCTTCAGTACTGATTCGGAGAGTCATTGGACTCAAAAAGTTAACAGTTTCTCCACAGAAGCTGCCAGACCTCCTGGGTTTTTCCAGCACTTCGTTTCTATTTCAGATCTCCAGCATCTGCAGTGTTTACTTTTGTTATAATGGTATTTGTAGCATAACACATCACAGAAAACCATAAAATTCAGAAGTTGAACAAATTAATTTAAATCTTGGATTTTAAAAATACTGATTGTTTCAGCAATTGGTTAACTATACATTTTTTTTGCATCTTGTATCAGTTTTGAAACCAAACAAAAACAACGTAGCTGTGATTGACTGAAATTCACAAAAGGTTTCTAATCAGGCCTGCCTTGCTTCTCACCTCTGTGGTGGTCGGATTCATGGTGCTTCTTATCATCTTTCATAGAAAGGTGGGGCTGTCCACCCAAAACACTTGATAGAGTCAAAAGGCCTGCACTGCTACCAAGTGAGGGGATTGATGGAGGCTGAAGTCCTGAAGGATGAGGAGTGAGAGGCACAGGAGGTCCATGACCATGAGAGAGATGTTGAGCCTGAAGTTGCTGTTGCTGATCATATTAAGACCACCACAGGTTTGCCAGGAAATCAAGTGAGAGTAGGGAGAAAAGAAACACAATATGATTAATTTCAGTGAAAATTTCCTTACAAAAAGTTCAGCAACAAAAGAGAAGTAAAATTAGCAGTAAAAAATACAAAAGCAACTAACAGCAACTGCAATGAACAGAAACACCATCATTCTAAGTGCTCAGCCATGATGGATTAACATTTACATATAACAGTGGTTGACTTTGTTTATCTGTGCAAGATTGCAACTTAAAACACACACTGCCAGTGATAAACAACCACACAGATTAGATGCAAACATTGCACCAGGCCTTTTAAGTTTATTTTGAGTTGTGACTACAAACTTCCAGCTCCGAATTAAACGTACACACTTGAAATTATGTTGGTTCAATTTCAATTATGTTTCTGGGACAAATATCTATAAATCATCTTCATCTAAAATCCCTTATTAATGTAACAAATCAAATTTACTAGGATAAATGTTTGTATCTGGCTTGCTGATGGTGGTCCGCAAAATAATAAAGTCAACAAAAGTAGTTTTATGGTGCAAATTTTAAATTGTGAACCTACAAATGCAATGTAGAGAATAAGTGTCTGGTTACTAACATGGAAAGTATAAAATTGTAATCAGCACAGTAACGAGAAATACATTTGACCTTTTGATATGTATTCTGATCCAACAGATCAATTTTTAACTTGCAAATGAAAATTTATGTTTTAAAAATGCCTGGCTAGATGGTAATGGTTGAGTGGGGAATATGCCAGACCAAGAGTTTACAAATTGTGTTGGAGTACAGTTCTGTTGCTGATGATGACCCAGTGCCTAATGGATGCCCAGCCTTGAGTTGCTAGGTCTGTTCGAAGTCTTTCCCACTTAGCATGGTGACAGTGCCGCAAAACACTTTGAAGTGTATTTTCAACGTCTAGGCAGGTCTTCATCTACACAAGGACTGTGTGGTAGTCACTCTTACTGAGAATGAAAGACAGATGCATCTGCAGCCAGCAGACTGGTAAAGATGAGGTCAAGTATGTTTTTCCCTCTTCCCTCGCCACCTGCTGCAGACCCAGTATAGCAGCTACGTCCTTTAGGACCTGACTAGCTTGATCAGTAGTGCTGCTACCGAGCCACTCTTGATGGTGAATATCGAGATCCCTTACCTAGAGTACATTTTGCGCCCTTGCCATCATCAGTGCTTCCTCCAATTGTTGTTCAACATGGAGGTATACTAACTTATCAACGAAGGGAAGACAGTATATGGTAATCAACAGGATGTTTCCTTGCCCATGTTAATCTTCATGTTCTGAGACTTCATGAAATCCAGAGTCAATGTTGAGGACTCCAAAGGCAACTCTCTCCCAACTGGTATACCACTTGGTGCGATTTATTACTCAGCCAGCTAACTTTAATTACTTATACTGGTCTTCCAGTTGCTTTACATATTCTCCGCAGGTGTTACGCTGTTTTTTTTAAAATGGTTATTTATTCATCAGACATGGATGTTGTTTGCCGGGCCAGTATATATTGCCCATCCCTAGTTGCTCTTGAGAAGGTTGTAGTGAGCTGCCTTCTTGACCTGCTGCAGTTCATTTGGTGCAAGTGTGTCACTGTGCTGTTAACAAGGAAGCTCCTATTACAGTATCACCTAAATAAACTATTTAGCTACGCACTTTAGCTACAACTTAATTCACAAGTCTTTAGAGCATAGATGGATCATTTTTAGGCTCAAATGCCATCACTCAAAATTGATGGACCAAATGGGTTATATCAAAGTCTGATATCTCCTTAGCCTTTGAAGTTAATGGTGCACATCAGTACCTTTAGAATTGATTAATCTTAGAAAGAAGTGAAGCATTGCCACCCTAATCAGTACAATCTTCTAACTGAAGAACTGGGAATGAATTTGATTTTGTTACTGCATTTACTTTTCTCCAATCTACTTAATATGTAGTGAACACATCAGTTTAGGAACTAACATGACCAGCGATCTCCAACAGGTGATTTTCTAGCACATAAAAAATGTTGCTTTAATGGTATTGATTTGTCAACATCCACATTGCCTACACAGTATATCCAGATGTACTTCTTCAAATTTCCTTGAATTTAAGTAACCTTACTGGGTCTTCTTGTTGTCTTTGCTCCACGTACAATGTTAACTAACTATCTCGATATTTCATTATTGGGTAGTCAAATTTTTAGAAGTTTGCATTGTGAATTGTTTGCCGCTCCTCCAACCTCACTCTTAGTGTCTCTGTCATCCTCCTGTTGTCTTACCATCTAGTATACTTACTCTTTCTCATCTTTCTCCTTGTGATGATATCACTTTAACATGTTCACATGTCATAAACAGATTCTTCTTCCTGCTATCAGGAGTATCTACCAGATAAGTTATTGTCGTAATTCTCCTAATCAACTTGTACATACCACTGAATTTCACCTGCAGAGACTAACCTTATGAAAGGTAATAACACTAACAATTTTTCTCCTATTTGAAACTTTATAGACGCAGCAGGTTTGTCTGTCCATTCTTTCAGCCTACTTGTGATGTTTCCAAATGCTCTTGTGCCACTTTAGACGCCCCGCCAGTCTCTCTAGAAACACAGCCATGTAATCCAATAGTCAGGATTCCTCTTGTTCCCTTAAAAAGCCTCCTTAAACAGTTTCGATGGATCTCATCTCATCGATATAGATCAATTCAAATATACACAAAACCAGTAAATTAATTCATTTGGGGAATCTCTGGTAGCAATGAGTAAGAAATCTAGCCCTTTGTCCTAATCCTGTGGGCATTCATGACAATATACTTTAATCATCGCATTTTTTTGTGATTAGATGGCGTCCTTCCAAAGCTTGCAAAGGATAGGCAGTATACTTCAACAGTTTTATACCAAACTTGTTCATTCATTATTGAAAAACTTTAAGGCATAAACTCTAAAACTTGGCCTGATTACATTGTTAATTGGGAACTTAAAATGAGTAAAAAAAAAAGCTTTTCCACTACTAAATGGTTCTCATTTCCATAATTATAAGGATATACTGGTGTCCTGCCTTTGTTTTTGGTCATGGTCCCAACACAATCCATTAACACTCAACAGGTTTGTCTCTTAAAGATGCCAGCTCAAATATACATTGACATTTTCCCACAATCTGACCAATCTGACTTTACAGAACCACACTACGTCCTTAGGAAATCTTGGCCAGGTAAAATGCCTGTTTATCAATGCTTTGAGTTTTCCATATTCCTGTACCCTGCCATAGGAATTTCATTTGCTATTCACAGTAGCATTTTTATGGAATTTAGGTGATACCTCTCTCTGATGCATAAATGTCCTTTCCTCATACACAGCTATTTGAGGTTGTCTCCACTTCTTCGTCAGAGTATCAACTTATTTAACCCTGGAACTGCTTTATACGCTGTTAAACACTTCCTTTGAATCATCTCCATTCTTAAAGAAAGTTTTAGCTCCTCTAACATTTATTTGTAGTATAACTTTGATGTCTGTTAATGGACTATGGTTAGCGTTAGTCTGGTCACCACACGTGACAGAAAAATATCAAGAACCTGTTCCTGTACCTGTTCCGTTGCTTTAACCTCACTTGGACTTTCATAACT